GTCCCATAGACCGACCAGGCCTCCTAACTGACACCCACATTCAAAAGGCTTTGTTTGGTCCAATGCAGGTTCCCCAGTTTTACGACTGGAGTCTGTGTGCCCCCACTTGGTCAGGTCAGCTGTTTCTGTGGGTTTCTCCAGGATGGTCTTGCCCCCTTTGCTCCTCACTCCTCCTTCTCTACAACTGGATTCCAGGAGTTTGGCTCAGTGCTTAGCTGTGGATGTCTGCTTCTGCTTCCATCAGCTACTGGATGAAGGCTCCAGGATAGCATTTAAGGTATTCATCAATCTCATTATAGGGGAAGGGCATTTAAGGTAGCCTCTCCACTATTGCTTAGATTCTTAGTTGAAGTCATCCTTGACCTCAGATTTCTCTTTAAACCTATAATAGCTCCCTCTATTAAGGTATCTCTTTTCTTCTCTCCTCTATCAGTCTTCCTGATCACTCATGTTCTCCTCCCCCCTCCTCTTTCTCCCACCCCCCCAACCCTGTGCTCCCAGTTTGCTCAGGAGCTCTTGTCACTTTCCCCTTCTAAGGGGGACATGTCTATCTCTTTTAGTGTTCTCCTTGTTTCCTAGTTTCTCTGGAGGTGTGGATTGTAGGCTGGTAATCCTTTGCTCGATGTCTAATGTCCATATATGAGTATATATCATGCTTGTCTTTCTGTGACTGGGTTACCTCACTCAGGATGGTTTCTTCTAGTTCCATTCATTTGTCTGCCAATTTCAAGATTCCATTTTTTTTTCCCCTCCATTGTGTAAATGTACCACATTTTCTTTATGCATTCTTCAGTTGAGGGGCATCTAGATTGCTTACAGGTTCTGGCTATTACAAATAATGCTGCTATGAACATAGCTGAACATATATGACCCTTGTTGTATGAAAGCGCATCCTTTGGGTATATGCCTAAGAGTAGTATTGCTGGATCCTGAGGTAGACTGATTCCCATTTTCCTGAGTAATCGTCACACTAATTTCCAAAGTGGTCATACGAGTTGGCACTCCCATCTGCAGTGGAGGAGTGTTCCCCTTTCTCCACATCCTCTCCAGCATAAACTGTCCTTGGTGTTTTTGATTTTAGCCATTCTGACAGATGTAAGATGATATGTCAGAGTTGTTTTAATTTGTATTTTCTGATGGCTAAGGATGCTGAGCACTTTCTTAAGCATCTTTTAGCCATTTTAGATTCCTCTACTGAAAATTCTCTAGTTAGTTCTGTACCCCACTTTTTAACTGGATCAATACAGAAAGAGGAAGAGGGAAGTGAAGAATTAGCTATATGCTAACAACTAATTAAACTAAGTTAGGTATATGAGAAATTGTATGTGTGTGTGTGTGTGTGTATGGGGGATCATGCGTGTATATGTGTGTATATATGTGTGCTTGTGAATATATATGTATGCATACATACAAACATATGGGGTCAGCACTTTCGTGTGTGTGTGTCTATGTGTGTGTGTGTGAGTGCTAGAGCACTTGTGTGTATACCTTGCTTTTAGATATGCTTGGCGCCTAGGGGTATATGTAAGGCCCTGCATTTAGTCCCCAGCACTGTGCGTGTGTGCATGCACATGCATGTGATTTCTAAAATGAAATAATAAAAGCTGCTTTCTCAAAAGGCCACATCAATCTTTTAACTAAACGTTATATACTAAAATTATTTACATTTAGCACTATTTGGACTTGGGGTTACTAATAACAAAAAGAAAAAATAAGAAGCCATAAAGTTGAGAGTGAGATGGGTTGGGGTACTAGGGGAAACTGGAGGAAGATAACATTGGATGGATATGGTCAATATACATTGTATAAATGTTAGGAGCTTTCAGAGAATAAAAACTATTGTTTAAAATTTATTTCAATAATTCATATTATTATTTATTAGCAACAAAGGTATATTTAAGCATATTCAGAAGATTAAAGGAAAAATTAATTTCAAGAATAACCCATTTAAATTTGCCTAATGAGTTTAGGGAATTATATGGTACTGCCATGAAGTCTGCAGAATAGGTTCAAAGAGATGTAAGGTACCATAGTTTACTTCCAATTAAAAAAAAAAGTTTGTAACTAACATTCTCTCAATTAATGAAGAAGTTCTACACACATTTTCAGGGGAAAAAACACTAGAGGGATCCAATTACATTTAAGGTTTTCAAATACAAACATATACAGCAATACATAACATAAAGACAGGAGGTAGGATGAGCTGGGCATGCAGTTAGGAGAGAGAGCGCTTGCCTAACACACACAAGTGTCATGGTTTGCTGTTCTCAAACAAGTGTGCAGAAATATCCCAGAAATCTGTATACTTTCATACTAAACTATCAGACTGTTTCTAACAATCGTAAGTAAGGCAATCCACTGTCAAAACACATTCTGCATGTAGCCAGCAAACAACGACAGTGCTGATCTCCAGAATCCTGCTTTGTCCTCCTGCCACCAGGCTCGGTACTCCTGCAATACGACTTCATAAAAGTCTCTCTGCATTTCCCAACCTTTTCACAATTACAGTCAAACATGTATTTATGGCATTTGAAAATATTACATGTTCCTTAGACCCAATGCTCCAGCAGGTTTGCTCACCACTGTCCTGTGCCTCTGACATCCAGAACACTGATGATGCAGCCTGACTGGATGTGACCTGTGCTCTGTACTCTGCAGTCAGAGAATTTAACAGGCATATCCAATCTTTAACCTGTGGCTGCTTGAGCCATATGATAGCTACGAATGTAGCTATCACAGAACCATAAATTTACATAAAACTGGATTTTTCTTATTGTTTTGTTTGTCTGTCTGTTGGATTTATTTGTTTTGCTTTTTTTAACTCTCAAGGTTGAGAAATTGAACTTTGCAGACCACAATTTTCTGTCCTAATGTCAAAAAGCTTAGGCATGCCAATGAGCCAGGCTAGTAGATGACAAACGTTAAAACCATTCTGGGATTCTAATGCCAGTCTAAGGAACAGAGTAGAGTAAAAAAATCACTGGTTGACACTCTTAAGATTTCCCAAGACTGTTCATATCATATGCTTTCATCTTCCCTTGCAACAAAACAATTAATGACAATTGAGGCTATGTATCAGTTCATAACACATGGGGTTTCGAAAGCATCAAACATAGAAACAGAATTGGAACTGAAAATTACATAATCCCAAGACAGCTCATTAATGGCAAATATATTACAAATGAAGATAGGTATCTTCCCCTCTGTGATGCCACAATGTTGACCTCATGTTGTGTATTCCCCACATTCCTGGGACCTGGTTGCCAATAATGTTCCCTTCCCAGATGTCTAAGGTACTGAAGCTACACTCACCAATACCCCGGCAGCCACAGTGCTCAAGCCATGAAGCTCTTTGTTCTTTTATCCCTCTGATTTTTACAACTATGCTGTCATGCTGCCATGCTGTCCCTGTGGCCACCTCTTCACTGTTGCTGTTCTAGGCTTCTCTTCTCAAAGTCACTTACTGAGGCCCCTCAGGATTCTATCCTTGGTTTTCTTTCTTTTTTCCGTCTACATGAATAAATGCATGTATTTCAAGGGACTATCTGCGTACAAACTACCTCCAAGCCCCTGAAACTTTTACTTCAACTACCTTTTGGATAGATCTGGCTTCTTTCATGACAGATAATTCCAATCCTACCTGTCAAATTCAAGCCGGGGTAAGCACTAAGTTCCATGGTTCTCAACAGTACCACCATGATAATGAGCTACTTTAGGCAGATGTAGATAGACTTCTAGGAGGCACCCTTCCTCCATCTCTTCCTCCTGGTTCTACTTCCAGACCTAGTCCTGTCCACCCTATTTCCTAAGGAGCCCAGATTTGACCATCGTACTTCACCTTCCCCACCCCTTGCTGTTCGGTTGCTGGTATCTGTCTGCCAACCTCACTAACCCTGTGACAGAATTGCTCCTTCTTATCCATTCTCTACATGGAAGCCAGTGTTTCCCTGCTTGTGGTCATTCCATCCTCCCTCCCTGCTCTCTGAGCAATCTCCTCCAGGCAGCTAACAAACTTCATTGCTTGATCATCTTAGTTGTAGCCTGAATTCTTGTAGCTTTTATCAGTGCTCAGTTCCACTTGCCACCGAGAACACAAGGCTGTCTCTGGCTCCCTTATGTTCTTTCTAGAATAGATTTTCATGCTATCCAGATCTTTCTTCTTCCTTCCAATACAGATCTCACAATACCCCTTCATTGTCCCTCAAAGCCTAGATCAGAATTTGCTCCGATAAGCTATCACGCTACTCAGTATTTCCCTGTTTCAGGAAGTGACATACTCTACAGCTTTCTACCTAGTCAGTTACCTCTGTCTCTGTCAGCATGCTGAACACACATCAGACCCTTGTGGCTGCACTAACTAACAATATCTAAAGCACAGTCAGCAACATGTATTTGCTGAATGACTGAATTAAACAAAGGAACATCACCAAACCTGCACACAAATACAGCTTTAATTTTCTTTCTTCACACTTACCTCAGAGTCATGGGCAGCGTTCCTTTCTCAAGCTAGAGGTTGCCCAGCAACTACAGAAGTTAATATGGAGCCTCTGTAAGCTCTCTTCTCAAACCAATGGCCCGAAGTACTCTTCCCAGTTACCTTCCTTCAAAAATTTGTCCTTTTTCTTTTTAATCACTTGTCTCAGCATTTTTAGTGCCTAGCTGCATGTTTAGTCCATTTTCCTTCCTCCAGGAGGCAGGGCCTGCTTCTCTTTCACTGTCTCTCTAGATAGCACTTGGTATCCACCTGATCCACAAGTGACTCCCGATATGCCTGATGAAGACGGGAACTAATACAGTTCCCACAGCATCATGTCCACCTCTTGTAAAATGAAACTCTTCCATAAGATAAAATAAAGTTTTGTCAATACTGCTAGACCACCAAACCCTGACTTTGGGTGGGGCAGAGGACCAAGAACAACAGAGACAGCTACCAATATCAAGAAAATCTGGTCGTCATTCCATTAACTACTAAGCATTAAAAAGCAAGTAGAATCTCTTGCCTTTTAGGCTCTTCATGTGGCCCTCTTTGCAGTCTTGCATGAGTTTGAGGGTCCATTTGTGCTGAGCTCCGATACACTGCCAAGCAGGATCACCAGACGCATGGAGGTCAGAGAGATACCTGCAAAAGCAAAGTACAACCTCTCCTGTTAAAACAGCAAAAGCAAAGGTTGGTGTTGTAACATCACTGCCATTTTTCAAAGAAAAACTAAACTTTAACTAGTAAAGCACTTGCCAATATTCATCTCTAATACTCTGTTCATAATGAAATATATTAAATTGTTTCATTCAATAGAAAATGATAAAGCCGTGGGGTTTTTCCTTTTTTAATTTTTTTAAAATTTCATGTGTATGCAGGTTTTGTCTCCATTGTGTATATGTACCATGTCCCTGGTGCCTGTGGAGGTACAAATATGGCCCTGGGTTCCCTGGAACTGGAGTTACAGGCCATTGGTAACTTCCCTGTGGTTAGTGGATATCCTCTAAGAGCAGCCAGAGCTCTTAACAACTAAGCCAACTCTGCAGGCCCAGCTGTAGATTTTTAATTTATTTCTTTGCCTAAGTGTCAACAAGAAAGATAAAAAACAACTTGACAAAGGTCAAACTTTTGAGGATTTGCTGAGAACGCTTCTTTATATTTAAACTTATTTAAAGAAAAACAAAAGGGGTAGGTACAAGGTGAGGGGGGAGGGAGAGAGACAGATGGAAAGAATGAGGGAGGAAGAAACCAGCTGACCAATAGTGATGAGAAGCGATTGTACTTCCCATTTATCAAACATACCAGATCCTCTGGCCATCCCTTCTGGTATACTCCACTCCTATAAATGCAGTGAACCGCATTACAGTTGGCATTAATCATCACCCTGCAATGCAAAGCATTCAACCTAAACTTGGGGTGGGTTGTTTGTTTTTTGTTTGAGGAAGAGGGAAAAATTAACTTTACATTTAAAGTCACTTCTCTCAAGTGTTTCTATTACTTTCCAGTTGTTTCACTTAACCTAGGTGGGAGCCAGCAGAGGGCACTGAGTGAAAAATGTCTCCCTTTCCAGTATGAAATACAGCCACTGGATGGCAATGTGATGCTGCTCTACAGTGACTTAAGTTAGAGGCCACTGAAATTTAAGGTCTCTCTGACAACATGCACTTACTTCTAGGGTGTAAACTAATTCACAACTGAGGAACTATTTCTCTATGAAACGTAGTGCAGATGGATGCTTTCTTAACTTTTAAAGTTTTCTTTGTGCAAGAAATAACCACATACACGTAGAGAACTTTAATATATTTCAACTGAAATTTTTCTGCCAAACATGACTCGTTTGGCCCTGAGCCCTTATATAATATACACATGTATCAACTCCAGAAGCATGCTCAAATGAACTTATGCCCTAAAATAGTTTTTAACCCTCAGCTTCTTTTGTCTTGTTAAAAATTTGTGGTCCATGATAAATGTTCATTGATGGTTACAAGCTGTGACCTTAGCCAAGTCCTAATCACTGTAGAGCATACCCACATTTCTTCAGTAGTGGGTGCTCATTACTCAAACATCTCAATTAGCGGCTAATTAAGAGGAGAAACAAATCCATTGTGTAATAAGTTCACAACAAACAAGATGTTGACCAGAAAACCAACCGGCATGTAGTTAGGAACACCCCACGCCAACCCTGACCCTCAGGAGCTGATGGCTCGAAGGTCTGACTCCTGAAAGCAGCAACTCTGCCTGCCAAGCGCTGTGGTGGCTACCTGTTTTCCCTGTGACTGTCCAGAGGTTGCAAACAGCTATGTCTATGTGCTGAGAGGGAGGAAGGTAACTTAAAGGAAGGATTTAGCCATATAAAGAAGGTACTATGAGTCTTCCTCATTTGTGAGAACACTACCCTCAGAAGAAAACCACATTCCAACAAATTACAACAAATTACATTTAGCTTAGCATAAGGAATTCAATCCAAACAAGCTCCCTAAATCCAATCTGATTTTTTCTCTCCCACAGAGCTTTTATTATCTGGGATATAGATGCAGCAAATAGTAGCTTGTATCCTTCCTTCCCTAAGAACACACTTTCTGCTCTTTCCTTCTGAGGATAACTGTTGCAACCATCACCCTACAAGGCTGCTCTGCCTCTGATACTGCAGAGCGCCTAACACTTTCTTTCATTCATCCCTCAGGTTCACTGTCCACAGCAAAGGGCAACAATTTTCTCTTGCAACAATGTTCTTGTACAGAAGCCGCTTCTTCACTGGGAAGGTCCTGGCAGTGTGCCACTGGGGCCCTTTAACGGTAGCCCAGCAAACTTGTTTTGTAACTTCAAAAATTGTAAATCTCTTCAACATATACACTATGGCCCTGAAATTTATAATAATCCTCTATCATCTTAATAATAAATTGAAGACTCCTAGAAATATTTTATGATGAATAAAAAAGAAGTTACTGTCTGAAAATTTCTATAGGCTATTTCTGTTAGAAAGTGGGATTTTGTTCTAGACTTTAAAAAATTTCTTTTCTTTTTAATACCATGCTTAAAACTGACAAATTCATTACAAAATCTCTCTTTAGATGGTACAGGTTATTGCTTTTCTTTTTCAAATGACATATTAGAGAACATTTTTGGAAAAGGCTTTCTAGGAGGGTAAGGAGGTAAATAGTCTTAATTCTAATGAGCACAGATTAAGAGTTTTAGAATTTAAGGAGAAACATTTTCAATGAGAATGGGCTAAATTCTCAGGAAAACAAAGGAAGCCCAAAGCATTTTCAGCCACCCTCAGCAGCTCCAGGAGTAGGACTACACTGCCATTGAGAGATGAACTCTGCTTCTTGCTAAGCTACATGAAGAGGATGCCTGGGGAGCCTATTTGACATACACAGCTGTGCCCAGGCTGTCTCCGCCTTTACTTGGTGTTCACAGGACAAAGCAACACAGACATTAAAGTGAAATAGACTTGACATGGCTCTGATCTCCTTTTTCTATTCATTAAAGGCTAGAAATGTAATTTTTAAGGTTAATCATTAGATTTCTCGTGTATTCTCAGTTGTATACACAGGAGTTTAGCATACTGCTGGAAGGAAATTTAGCTTGCTCACATGTGATATGGGAGTGAAACCTCCAGGCACAAGCAGCAAAGCTTCTCTGAGGTTTATTTCCACTTTAAATTTGCAATTTTGTAAGCCAGGAAAGTTCCCCGTGTATACATTTCCTCAGGAAGACAGCTGAAGAAAGTCAAGGGTGGCCTCTGACACCAGAAAAGCAGGTGTTCGGGCTGTGGTGCTCAGGTTGCTCAACCTACTTGAGTACTCTGGCCAGAAAGGAAACACAATTAGAACCCAGCCCAGTGTGGACACATGGCCTGCGTTTCCCAGGAATCAGTTTCACTGCTCTCTATCCTACATCTGCTTCCACTGTTCCCATCACTAGAAGACAATTAAGTGCTGGTCCTTAGTCCCTCCCAACAGTGTTCGGGCCAGGCCATTCTCTCAGGCCTACAGACAGTATTTCCAATGGCTACAAGATGACCAGAGGCAAACGGATGCATATATGTAGTCCATCCCATTTTTAAGATACTAATTTTTTTAATAAATTTCACTAATTAAAGAATTCATTGAATTTGGGAAAGAACAGCTTGTTCTGAAAACAGACCACACTTAAGATAGCCCAGCAGAAAATAAGTCAGCCTTTTAAATCTTAGATATGAAAATCTTACAATTTATGCTTATCTCCAAGTATGGGTGTAAGCTATGTATGCCTGTTCCCAACATGCCAGGTATTGGACTAACCCCTTAAATGGTCACCTTCCCAACAACCCTGAGACGCAGCTGTGCTGCGTGTCATGTTCTCTCTGCAGATGAAGAAACGGAAGTACAGGACTTGTGTGTGTCCCAGAATGAAAGTCTTGTTCCTACAGACATGCTCCGACTCCTCAGCTTCTCTCATCTCCTCTTATTCCCCCGGTTATTTTTTTAAAGTATTCCCAACTTAATATTTCCACAACTATTTCTCTCAATGATCACTACAGGACTGTAAACTGACATACATTCAAAGGAAAACGTTTCAGAGCCTTTGTTACTATGGCACATTCCAGAGCTAAAAGTTCCCTCTCGGGAGTACTCTGCACTGAGCCACAGTGGAGCAACCACCTTGTGGAGCATGGATGGCATCTGCAGGGTGCAGCAGCCAGTACACCTGGAGTCACATGGTGACAATCACTCAGTAGGAAGAACAGCTGACTGAGCAATGAGTTGCTTTTCCTTTGGCCAACCTGGCAGGTCATCTTTCCTTTAAAGGGGCAGTTCTCTATAACTGTTCCCAATGTATTCATATTCAAGGAACACACATGTCCTATTCCAGATCCCCCCAAGTTTCTACTGTCTTTCCTTTCAACACTTCATTAGTCTCCTGACTGCCCCCAAATCAGTTTTGCAGGTTTCACACTATATCCCATACATACACGCAATCTATCAGAATTCTTACTTTTTTACCTTATGTAACGCTTTTGGTCATGTAAGGTTGATGGGGTCTCCAGCAATTTCTTTAGAAGTAATTCTCTTAGATCTTCAATTCCTGCTTCTACTTCAGCATAATCTATTTTTAAAAGATGTAAGATTCACAGAACTGAACTTAAAATCAAATTTCAGAAAGCAGAATACTGGTTGCTTTTTGACTGAGAAGAGACACAAGGGACCTTTGTGAGGGATCAAAACACACCATCCAGAGTGTATGAGAGAGCATAAGCATTCGTCAGAATTCAGTGACCTGTGACATGTAAGGTCTGTGCATTTCACTGCATGAAAATTTCACCACAGTAAAGAAATAAATTCTGCTTTTTGAGAGCTTATGGGTTTCATTCTTTTAAATTTAATAAGACCTATGGTATTTACCCTAGTTAATAAATTTTTAACCAAAGGATATTTAAGCTTTTTTCCCCCTATAAGCCTGGTATGCAGAGTAATTTTTAAAAGTATTGAGTATGCTTTAGAGTAAGATTAGAACTCATAAATACACTGTTTTAGCTTGAAGAGGGAAAACTGAAGTGCACATTTCCATGTCTGTAAAAGGCTTGTCGCTGCTTCTTTCCCCTCATGAAAGCTTTTAATAGCATTGTGGTTAATACACAGCGAAGAGTATCTGAGACTAGCCCCCACCATAAATGTTCATTCCCACTACATGGCAGGAAGAAAACTTGTGAGGTTATCTTAAGCTAATTGTTTTACATTTTAAAGAAAGCAACACATAAACAAGATCTAAATTTCAAGTACCACTCTTTGTAGAATATACACTCCACAGTCTTAGGAAAGGAAAGGAATGGTATGGTATGGAAGTAAAAAATTCTTTTTTTTCTTGTTTTAGTAGTTTATTTATGCATTCATGTTACAGAAATGAGTTGTGTCAGAAATTCCAAGACCTGGAATTAGATGATAAGTGAGAAAAATCAAGATAGTTTGCTTCTCTATATCAGGTTCATTCTTTTGTTTCACTCTTAGCTTTGATTGACATTTCTTTTTAAAATACATCCATGTTCTTATATATTTAACCCCCCTCTGTATTATGTAATTTTGAAAAAAAATATATCTCAACTTCTCTACATTTCAAAGCTGTTGTCTCTAACATTCTTTATTTTTATTTTTAAATTTAAATTAGAAACGAGGTTGCTTCACATGTCAATTCCAGGTCCTCTCCCTTTGCCTCCCCTCCTCCCACGCCCTCCCACCAGCCCCTCCAATATCCCTTCATAGGCTTACATTTCTTGAAAACTTGCACCTCTGTTTTCCCAAAGAGCGACTTGGCTTTTTCATAATCATTAATAACCACATCATAATCCCCCTGAAAATAAGAAACACACTATGAGATCATCAGGAAAGAACAGTAAGCACATTGGTTAATATAAAATAGTTTAAGATTGGCAGCATCTATAACTGTATATACACATATACTATACCTTTTGAATATTCCGTTTAATATTGAGAGGAAGGTTGAAGAGAAATTTAAATCTCTGAAGCACGTTGAGTGCATTCCTGGTGGAATCTGCCTTGTCTTTTCGACCTAACACTTCTTGAAATAATGTGTCAGCGGTATTACTTGCTCCTGTTTCCAACACACAAAAAAGGACATAGGTGACAGTGACTGAATTTGAACAGTAAATACAAATTGCTACTGTATCTTTACACTGAAATTCAGTAGACATTTTTAAAATGATACCTATATACAGATCTGTCATGTTTTGCTACAAAAAATTTGCCTAAGTCCTTTTATATGTTAAGAATGGTATCTGCTTAAAAGTAACAATATTTACTAAGCCCAAGTAATTTTCCCCAATAAACCTATACTTATTTTAGTTACAATTCTAAAATTTTTAACAATTGTGGGTGCTTATGCTATTTCATTATTTTGGACAATAGGGAACACACACACACACACACACACAGACACACACACACGCCAGTTAAGTTCAATTAATTGTGAATCAAACTATCATCAGGTAGTAAATGAGATATGGGAAACTGTTTTCAGAAAAAAATTTTAAAGACATTATAGCTAACCCTACTTTTTGACAGAATTATCCCTCTATGTTGCAGGGATAGATAATTATATAAACCTAAATGACAAAACCAAAACACAGTATCATTACTGTTTCTTAAATCAGCAGAATTTTATAAAATCAGGTACAAACAGAATATTTCATAAGATTCTTTCCTTTAAAAAGTACGAATTGTAAGGATCACTTTAATGAATGCTATTTTTCTAAGGCAAATTTTGCTATGTGCAAAAATAGTTTAAATTTTGCAACATGTGAATTATTTTTAATTAGCTACGAGGAAAACAGAGAGGATAAACTGCTTTCAGCTGTGTGACCTGCTTGTAAAGTTTCTACATTATCTGGTCTAGTGACTATACTTTAAGCAAAGATGAAAAACTCACCTCGTCTCACTGGGTGGCTTGCACACCATAGCCACACTGTGGGTGGCCTGATCCTGTTAAAAGTCGCCTTTGTAACATGATTGTTTTATCTAAATAATGTTTAAATTCTGTTGAAATTTTAAAGGTCTGATATAAAAACTTCGTTTGGTCAAGAGAGCTGTTTTTCCTACATGCTATTTAATGTGGATACCAAACCTCTATTGTGGGATGAGAAATACATTTCCTTCTAACCACCAAGACATGAAATAAAGGCTTGAGTGAGTATTTGAAATCTGACTAGAATTTTAAAACTTTCTTCAAGAAAAAATATCTTAAAGCATTTACTTATCATTTTAAAAATAGAAACTTCTTGAGTTTAAGCTTTGTGACTGAATAAGCACAGGGAATGGAATCTTTTTAAAGGGCTACTTATTTATATGTGAAGTTTTGCTCTTAGACCAGCAAATTCCTTTTTCCATGCAACAAAAGAACACAGCAACCAGTCTGAGTTCAAAAATGAATTATTCTCATTAAAGTAACAAGAAATTTCAAGCTAATAATTTTAAACCCAAATACATGAAAACAAGAACAGGTAGAAAACATACTATTAAACAAATATATTTTCTAGAGATAGTTTTTGTAGGAAGAAATTATAAACTATGAAAAAAATTCAATTTATGCCAAAATTTGTGAACTGAGAATTTGAGTTTATACAAGGTTGAAAACTATATAGACCAATTTCTGTCAAAAAATTATGATTCTGCTGTGATTTTACTGTAGTCACAATAAAAATATAGTTCATATTCTGATGCTGGGAGAGATAGTAAATGATAAAACATATGAGAGATTAATGAAACCAAAATCTACAAAGCAGTCACAAAGTGCTCAAAGTATCTTTCTTTTCCAGGAGAAAAAAAGCACAGTGCAGGACAGTGGGGCTCCTCACATGTGGGACTAATGATGCTGACAGAGACATCAGCGAGGTGTCCAAAAATCCTCTGACAGAAATCCTGCTTGTGTGCTAATCCACACACATCTTGCTCCATCCTCAAACCACGAGTGACCACAGAACAACTGTATCTGGGTTGAATGGCCATACCTTTGCCCTCAGACGCTAACGGACCCTTATGTGGGTCTGAAACAACCTCATCAAAGAATGGCATCCCTGCAGTTGATTTGGACAATGACTGTCACTGTCTCACAGTTACACATGGGCCCCAGAAACTAACTGACAGCAAAGCTGCTATGCACACCACAGTGGTCAGCACCGTGGCTGGACTCACGGAGCTCTAAATCATGCCCCAGGGAAGAAGTTGCTGTCATACTACACACTGGTCCATTACACTCATACCTGCTCCTTACAGCCACCTAGAAAATCTAGTTTTCTCATTCTAATAGTGTCTTATAATTTCAGGCATGCTTATTTAAAGTAGACATTATGCTGCTTTCTATTTCAATGTGACCACACTGGTCCCTTCTTTGTCCTGACAACTTGAGATGTGCAATCACAGAAGTGGGGTGTGTACGTGTGTGTGTGTGTGTGTGTGTGTGTGTGTGTGTGTGTGTGTGTGTGTGGTGTTGTGCCTCATGGGAAGACAGGGGCTGGACAACACAGGCATTCCCAGCCATCACACAGTTTGTTCCCAGAAAAGACAAGCTATGTTAGAGCACAAGAGAAAACATGAAGGCTGCTGGAGAATTAAAGTACCTCAAAAATGCACACTGACATTTAGCAAAGGCAGCACCCCCACCCACCCAAAGACCAAGCCTACTTTGAGTGCATGTTTCAACAGGCGCCAGGATGACTAGCTAGCTGCTCTCCGTAACTGACTGCTAGAAGAGAATGTCTGAGACAGTGTGCACTATTACTAACACAGACATGCCCCACCCTGGGGCCTGACAGATCCACATCACACACACACGCACGCACACACACACACACAAGGTGTCACCAGGAATGACAGCCGAAGCTGGAAGCTCTCATGAACCAATTTGTTTCAATACAAGTTTGGCAAAGGCTAAAATTAGGGCTGGTTCGTCTTTTTTCTTTCTGTGTGCAATTTACTAAATATTTACTGGCCAATTAATTAATAGAACTCAGTTTCTTTCTCACAGACTTAATTCTTACTGATAATTACTGATTCCTTACTACTGTTCTAAGCCTCCAGTCTGGTCATTTTCATTTATACATGCTGCTTGAATTAAATAACTCAGTCTCGTTTCAACTACTATCTGACTATGTGCCAATATCACCTCAGTTAAGGGTGGAACCTAATGAGCCCCTCCCCAGTCCATGCTGGAGTTGTGATTGGCTTCATCTTGTGCAAGCCCTGTGCAGACAACCACAGCTACTATGAGTACATGATAACATTTCACAGCACTCTTCCTCAGCCTCTGGTTCTTACATTCTTTTCACTTCCTCTTCCACAAGGTAGAGGGAGTGATTCAGATGAACCATTAAGAGCTGAGTTCTCACATTCATTCACATATTATCAACACCTGGGCCAGTTATGAGTCTCTGTGTCTCTGTGTTAACAACAACCCACTGCAAAAAGAAGCTTCTCTGAACAATGTTGGGAGCAAAACAAATCTATATGAGTAATCAATCAATCTCTCTCTCTCTCTCTCTCTCTCTCTCTCTCTGTCTCTCTCTCTCTCTCTCTCACACACACACACACACACACACACACACACATTTAGAAGGCAGCTTGACAAGAGAACTATAATAAAAACAAGAATAGGTTCCAGACCAACTTTACAGTACCAGGCACAAGCCTAAAAATCACAAGAGACTGGTTACTCTCACAATAGTCATGTTACTAATGCACTAGTGCATATATCTTGTCTGGCAGGTCAGTTTGATAGCATGCTGGGTCCAGTTCTGGGTAAGACTGTATTGACGATGTATTCTCTACTCCAAAAGCATTGAAAGCTCATTTGCTTTATTTAACATAAGGAAGTAGTAAAGTCAAGAAGATACTCAGTGATCAACTCTCAGGAATCCCATTTTCAGGTTGCACATAAACTGTAAAGAATTTTCTCCTTTACTTTCTCCTTGTGTCTTAAACCTGGAGTCAGCTCCCTTTTTCTTCATTTGAGGCTAGAAATGTAAATGTCTCACAAACTACTTTTCCTTTTTTATTGCACATATACAACCAATGATCCAATACTGTCGTCTTTATTTCTGCCCTGCCATGGGATCCTGGTCCAGTTCATCTGTTGAGCTCACTACGACTGCTGCCCTTTATCTGATCTCCTATTGAACCAACAGTGGTACCATCTAGTCTATTCTCCTCAACACTTCATCACATAGCTTGCTCACTGAACTCCTTTAGAGCTCACCATCTTCAAGACTAACTCTATACTAAGGAGAACTTGAATGGGCACAGCAGGCATCTATATCACTCTCGATTCACTGGCTACAATCTATCTATGCCCTTTCTACTGCCACTGCCTCCTTTCATGCTGCTGAAGACCTATCAGAGACACAGCTGTATCCACCTATTTCACTGACAACCTGCTTATCTAACTGGCTGCACCCTACTTCTCTTCTAAGGCACATTTGATGATTTTCATATTCTCCACTCTGAGGCCAGTGGAAAATGGGCACTATGCTGGGAATGGCACCCAGAGCCTCACTTTGTGCCGGGCAAGTGTTATAACACCAAGACACTCCTCCCCTAGATTCCTTACATTCTAGTGTGAGTTCCAGATATACCCCTAGATTATGACCAGCAAAACATGTATTGCTGAAGATACTAAGAGAGTATGACTCAATAACCTGTTTGCATGTCCATATTTTCTGAGCAGTTACACATAGTTAGACACAAAGCACAGGTTCTATCTTTATTATCCTGTGATATATACTAATGAGTGCTCAATAAATGCTTATAGAGCCAAGGACTATAGCTCAGGATTTAAATCGATGACAAGCATTCTTTCTACCCAAAGAGACACAGCACAGTATAGAAAGGCCTTATGAGGCATCACAGAAACAGATATACAAGTTGAAACACAGCAAAGTGATTTTAGTCATCATTAGGAACTATGTCAGAGACTGTGCTATATCACCTTTTAAAAATTACTCAAATAATCTCACTAATTTGACATGATGACAACTCCAATGGTGCGAATAATACCTTTGAGAGAAAATATCCTTCCAAACCTTGAACATATCTAGCAGCAATAATACAGAAATGGTAAATATTTGTTTGGGTAAAATTCAGAATATATCCATTTTAACAAAGTTTGTGTCACGGTTCTCAGAAGGAAAAGCACAGCAAACCTCAAGGTAAGCAATAATAATAATAATAATAATAATAATAATAATAATGCCTGTTAAATCCACAAATTTAGGATGAAATGTCCAAGTATTCAAATTCCAACACCAAGGAAAGCCTACAACAAAGTTAAAATTCTTTATACAAAATTCTTTCTTGCTGACATCACTAGCTCTATGAAGAGATGGTAACATAAGGGCCCAGAATATTCTATTCATGAGACTAAACCAAGCTATAAATACAAAATTAGCTTTTTATCATAATCCTGTATTTATAAAATCCCTAAAAATCTATGTGAGGTTGCCTGTTTTTTTTTTAATCCTTTCTTCACAAGGAAATCATATATCCAAGGAGATTCTTATGAACATCATTGCTTTATATTGCACATTGACTATAGTGTGAAACATAACTTACATTAAAAACACTTATGCTACAATAAAAACTAATTCGTCTGGTGAGTTTCTTCTAAGTTATAAAAGTAAGCAACTTGGAACGTTAGAAAAGGGAAAGTGGAGGAAACACCAAATGTGGGGTCTGTTGGGTCTACAACTTTTACAAAATATTCCAGGGTATATCCTGTGGGGAAATGCAATGTGTAGATAAACAAACAATGCTTGTGCAGCTGCTGTACAGGAGCTGAAGCTCTGCACTGTGCACTGGCCCATCTAATGATGGAGACTCAGGTATCTGCTCAGTGGTAACCCTGGCTGCTGTCTCAGTGCTGTCTGCTTCAGGGTAGCAAATGACAATTCTTGAGAAGTATAACTCCAGATTACAGTAAAATGCAAACAGATTCATTTCACTCCTTCCACTGCCCTTCAGGTTCCTTAAGTCCGTATTTAGAAGTGAATGCTAAAACACAACTCATGACTTTGCCCTGGGAAATCCTTCGGAACTGCACTATACTTTGTTATAAAGGCCATTAATAGCCTTGGGTAATAAAGCAAACTTACTGTTGAGGACATTCTCCAATTTCTGTGTCATGGACCCTTCTACTTTTTCTGTACCATCTGCTTCTAGTTTTTGATGAATAGCTAGGAAAAAACCAAACAAACCTAGTTAAAATGTGAGCCACTTTAATGGACAGAAAGATATTTCATAAAAATAACATTTTGATGCCATTTTTATAAATTATTCTATTACTTTTACCATTCAAGAAGAATAGACATATGCAATATTCTGGAATGGAAAAAACCACAGATGACACCATTTACGTCGTTCACAGCTTAACATTATTAAATTGGTACATAACACACACTCATCTGGGCTTCAAGACAGGGTGAAAAAATGAAATGAAAAGAGAAAGTGTGATTTCAGGCACTTCGAGTATTCAGCACAGTCTTCGAATGTAGCCACAGGAAAAAGCCTTCTTCCTCAGCTTTACTTTGTAAAACAGAAGCACTATATTTGGATTTTACCAACCTCAAAATTTTAACTTTGAGCCAGGACTATAACATGAGGAATATATTTACTCCTCTTATAGTCACAATAATTTCCTGGAAGTTCCAAGGAAACATTTCACAACAACTATCAATGGACCACTTAGTAATATATGCTTAAAGCTGTTACCTAGTGAAGGGGAGGGGGGTCAAACAGCTATCATGCTTCTTTTGATAAGGGACTATAATTTTAGATTGGAAAGCTGAAGCCAGAAGAGTACGCACGAGTTATACTGTGACCATGCACTAAGCGCTATAGTTCTGAGATGCATGTGTCACCCACTGACACTGATGCACATCCCAGTATTTTTATTTGAAGGATGAGAAAGCTGTGACTCCACACATGAAACATGCTGGAGAAGGTCACAAAGCCAAACCTGCAATGTGAACTGAAGCAGCCTAGTTCCAAGCCTTAAAACCTCATCCCATGTTGCCTGCATGGCACAGATCAGTAACTCGCACTACCTAGGCTTCTGTTTTCATGTCTGTAAAAGGAGAGCAGTAAACTTACTGTGCCTTGGGGAATTGTATTCACTTGTAATGAAAAGGTTACCCCTCAATATTTCTACTTTTCCACACAATTTGCTCAAATGAAAACCCGAATCCAAGATTCATTCTGATCTTTCAGAATTAACATAGTGAAATAAACATCACTCTTAACTATTAGGTACTCACTAACATTCAAACGGTGAGTCTGTCCCAGAGTGTGCTTGATAACCTAGGCACAGGTGCCAGATTTAGACTACACAATCAATTAAACAAGCCTGCTCCATACAAATGTGGATGTGTTTATTTCTTTTATGAGACTTATATAACTCAATTTGACCCACTGGTCTTTAAAAACTTAAGAGTTAAATTCAGGGTTCAAATGCTTATGAATATGTTCTCAACTCCAGAGAACATTTATTTTTCTGCTCCTTATAATTAGTTTTTAATCCTAATTTTGCCCTTAATACTATATTTTCCTGTAATGCTACCTCAGTTTTGTTTGAAATTCTAAAACAAACAGACTGCTCCTGTATTGAAATTGAATAAACACATTCATAAAAAGAAAAACAAATATATGAGGGAGGAATAGTCACTACATATTTTAATTGTCTTAGCTGATTTGGAGTAAAGAAAAAGTGATTTCTTTACTGTCACAAACTTAAATTATATGTTAGAAGTGATCCAGAATGTTCCTGCACATCAAAGCTAAAACTTACATTCAACTTGTAAGGGTAAATGGAAGAGACTGTTCCAACCTCTAAGCATTAAAAGCTCAACTAGGAGACTGATCCAGGGGAGATCTGCCCACACTGTGTTTAATGCTGCTGCAATGCTCTGGCAAGCGTGGTTGCGAAAGCAGAACCAACACATGTGTCGCTCACTGTGCAGGACCACGCGTGGCCTGTCCCGAGTGTGAAGGTAGTACATTTTACATGTCAGTGTTATTCTCTTAAGTCTAAATTAACATTAAAGGAAAACATGCAGCCACATTTTCTGATGCTGACATAAGCCATCAGCGATCAGCAGGTCAAGATGGGGTGACCTGGTTCCCTGAGCTCAGTTGGCAGCCCTTTCTGCTGACAAAGCAACTGCCTCCAGCCCATCTCTACCACAGCAGAGGCACTGTCAAGCTGTCAGCCAAGCATGAGGACTGAGAGACACAGGGATCTGATAAAGGCAATCCTATTTTCCAGAAAATTAAACCAAATAACCCAGTGTCTGGTTCACTGCCCTTTTATTTTCTCTGAAAACATTTTTAAATAGAATAACTCAATAAGCAACTGGGTACATGATCACAGGTTTGTTATTGTTTCTAATATATTAAAAACTTAAATATGTGCAGCAGTTGAACATCATAAGCTTAAATTTAGGAAACAAAAAGGTATTATAAAAGCACCAGTCAGAGTAAAATTGAGGTCCTAGGAAAGTGTCTATTATTTCACTAGAACTGTATCATCATTTCATTTAACTTGAGTAAAACACACACTGAGTAAAATATGAAATTGCAAATTAAATAAAAAAATTCAAAATGCCTGAACATACACTTACATAGATGCCATTGTTAAGTGAATCACTAAGAATGGGGGTGTGTATGTGTTTGTTTCAGTATCGATAAGAATGCTGGTAGCGATAAGAATGCATTGCTAGGTAAGGAGAGAGAGAGAGAGAAAGAGAGCATACACACACACACACACACACACACATGCCATTGTACTTATGGCTAGCTAGCCTTGGATTAAATAGAACATTAAAGCCAGAGCAGAGACAGTTAAACCACAGAGCCTCTTATCCTGAAGTCATCATCATCATCATTTTTTTTTCCTTACAGCCACCTTAAAAGCACAGCCACAGTTAGTTCCAGGCCTATAAAGGTAGGCTGTAGCCTCGTCATGTTAATGTCCCAGACTATGAAGGTTATACTTAATAAAAAAGAGATGGAAGGGGTGACCAATGGTATACTGCTAATTCAAATTCATTAAAAAGCTTTTTATACATTCAGTTTCTATTAACTATCACAGAAAACTTCTGTCACTGTTACAGTTTAGGTTTGAATGTCCTCAGGAACCCACATGTGAAAGGTTTGGTTACACATGATGGTACTAGGATGTGCTGAGTCATTTGGGCACACCCTTTAAGGGAATAATGGTGCCTTGGTCCCTGCCTCTGGATTCTCTCTGCTTTCTGTTGTGCTCTGCCATACAACCCCACGATGATATGATGTCTCATTATAGGACCAAAGCAACACCCATTCCCAATCCTAGGCAACTTGGAACAAAGCCCCAGAAGTTAAGAGCCAAAATGAACCTTTTTTTGTCAATTATCACAAATATTTCACTACAATAAAAGAAAGCTAACACACGGTGATTAAACCATAAATTACATTTAAATTAACTAAGTAACCTGTGATCCTTTTCTTCCCTAATTATATTACAAATACAAATAATAAAACAATTCCAGATGCCACATAAAGACAATAGGTAAGAATGACTCACTTAATAGCATGCTGCCTACGCCACCTTTGTACATCAACACACAAACAATAGAAAATGCCAAAACTTGGTTCTGCTTCAGGCTTCCCGGAGTTGCTACAACACAGAAGCAATGTACTGAGCTGCTGGTGTATGACACCTGCTTTGGTCTCTTTGTGTACTGCAAAGAGTATTCATTCAATTTGGCCATAGTTCTTAAGAGACACAAAAGTTCTTAAGAGACACAAAACACTCACAGTTTTGGTTTGCCACCAAAAACAAGTGACTACACAGATCTAAATGCATGAGCTCCAAGGGCATTCAGGGAAATGGTGATGGAAAAGAAGAGTTGTTCCGAAAGAACCAAGGAGCTCAGAAGGGCCTCCCACATTAATGTATGCAGCAGAAACATCTCTCAAGCTTGAGGCTCAGTGGGGCTAGCCTGAATAGCAGCCTGAGACCCTCAGGTGCATGGAGACTTCCAAAGAGTGGGAGAAAACAGCAAAGTAGAAGTCAGGGAAAGAGACGCCTGGTGCTAGCAATGCTTTTACAGGCTAATGAAAAGAAGAGGGCACCAGACACAATGCTTGTCAAGTTCTGACTAAAATAGTGGTAGGCACACACAGGGGCAATAAACCTCATAAATACAAAAAAGTCAAAGAATAAAGATTCAGACTGCAAATCTGGTTGGGATTAACTGAGAAACAGACTTAGGCTGGCTCTCAAACGTCCATACAGTGAAAGAAAAACAATGACAACCATGGATGACATCTTGAGGAGTGGGAAAAGATATTCATTAACCCCACATCTGACAGAGGGCTGATCTCCAAAATTTACAAAGAACTCAAGAAGCAAGTCTCCAAAACACCAAGCAAAAACTGGGGTACAGGAGTAAATAGAGAATTCTCAGTAGAGGAGACTAAAATGGCTGAGAGACACTTAAGAAAGTGCTCAACATCCCTAGCCATCCGGGAAATGCAAATCAAATCAACTCTGAGACACCATCTCACTCCTGTCAGAATGGTTAAAATCAAAAATTCCAACAACAGTTTATGCTGGAGAGGATGTGGAGAAAGGGGAACACTACTCTACTGCTGGTGGGAATGCTGACTTGTATAGCCACTTTGGAAATCAGTATGGAGATTCCTTAGGAAAATGTGAATCAGTCTACCACAAGACCCAGCAATTCCACTCTTAGGCATATACCCAAAACATGCACATTCATACAACAAGGATGTCTGTTCCACTATTTTCATAGCAACATTATTTGTAATAGCCAGAACCTGGAAGCAACCTAGATGTCCCTCAACTGAAGAGTGGATAGAGAAAATGTGGTACATTTACACAACGGAGTACTATTCAGAAGAAAAAAACAATGGAATCCTGAAATTTGCAGGCAAATGGATGGCACTAGAAGAAACTATCCTGAGTGAGGTAACCCAGTCACAAAAAGAGAAACATGGTATGTACTCACTCATATATGGATTTTAGAAATGAATCAGGGGAGTGCCAGCATACAATCCCACTGCCAGAGAGTCTAGGAAACAGAACCTTCATCAGCGACTGATGAAAGCAGAGGCAGATACCCACAGACAAACACTGAACTGAACTCCTGGAATCCAGTGTCAGAAAGAGAGA